TGGAAAGCAAGCCATGAGTGTACAGAGAAAAAGCATGCACTCATTTGGAATACTGGAGTCCTAAAAAATACTTAGTCTGCACATGTAAAATCTTCTAAAATGCGTGAGGAGAGTGGTTTACGTTTGTGTCTTAAAAAGGATTACTGATATGAATATGTATAGCACATGTGCCCTTTTGGCAGAATTCTGACTTCCTAACATTTTACCATAAAAAAAATAAAACTGCATCACAACAAAGGTAAAAATCCACCTTTAACTGCTTAGCGTATCCGAGAATATAATCCAAACTCTTTAGTATGACTAAGCTTTTATGCAGTATTGGGATCAGTACGTTTCAGCATGGAAAAATCTAATACTGGAGGCACAACAAAATTAAATGAGCTCCCTCTGACCAACACGCACCACAGAAATAAAATATTTTTTGTCAATAAAAAAAGATATAAACATAAAATGTTTAGAATTTACAAGTGAACAAGTTGAAAACAATCAAGGTGGTTGTAGACTTTGCAGAGATGAAAAGTCCTTAAAGGTGTGAGAAGAGGTAGATTGTAGGTTGCTGTTTGGGCTGTAACAGAAATCTATTTGTGTGTAAAATGGCCTGAATAAATGCCAATACATAGACTATTTGCCCAATAAACAAATGTAATTAGTATACTTTTTCTTGTGGGGTTTACCTATAAAAGATGTGTTTTGCAGAGATCATGCTTTATGAGCCATGAATGAACTACATGGGGAGTAGTGGTTACGGCATTGTGCTGAGAATCCTGAGGTTCTGAGTTCAAGCCCCACTCCCACAGACTGCCACTCTGGGTGACTAAGCAAGATCCTTAACCCAACACTGCTCCCCAGGCGCCTTGCAGTGGCAGCCCACTGCTCCCCAAACAGATGGGTTAAACGCAGAGGTGTGAGATTAATAAAGTTAAATTATTAGTAACTTTAAATCAAACAACCAAATTCCAGCAACACTAGCTTTCTATGCTGGCTTCAGTTTTTTAGGATTATAGTTTTACCTTATCTGCTTTCTGGCATTCAAAAACTTACCAGGCAATTAAAGGTTTTTCATGTTATTGCCGCTAACCCTGTCCTCTGTGTCCTCTGTTTCAGTATAAAAGCAGCTGTTCATTGCTGATTAGCTCCATATCTCATCATAAAACCAGAGGTACAAAGAGCAGATTTCTTTTGCTTTTTAGTGGGATGTAACGGCTGCATCAGAAACCTGGCTGTCAAACAGTGGTCAACACTTAAAGAATAAACATGATGTGCACTACTGCGGATTCAATGAGGATTTGATGATGGATCATGCAAAGCAAACGTCATGGTTGGGGTGGTTTTCATTCATCTGTTAACAAATGGCATAACAACCACAAATGTTCTGCTTTTCATGTCATGTTTCACAAAGTTTGAGAGATTGGGGTGCTCTCATTTTGATATAGACCAAAAACAAAAACTCAATTTGCAGGAAGCTGGCACATCTAGACTAGGGTGACCAGACGTCCTCTTTTTACCGGACATGTCCTACTTTTCATACCTAAAAAATGCCCGTGGGGAATTATGGTCAACTACAGTGCAGCAGAACTGAGCCATGAGCTCCGGAGCGACCAAACCCGACCTGGAGACGGTAGCCTAAACAATGGCAGGCAGGGGGAAGTATACCATCACCGGGTCGGATTCCGTCACTCCGTCCCCGTCTCGAATGCCCAAATCTGGTTACCATAATGTAGTTCCAAACCAGAGAGCACAAGAGTAGGGAACACAAGTGTTGTGCTATTAAGCAGTTTTACAGTCAGGTCCAACAGTTAAGCAACACAAATGATACTTTCTGTTATACTACATGCAATACCCCTTTGTTGACCTAAAAAGAGTATCTGCATGTTCTGCTTGAGGGATACTGACGATGACAGGCATGAGTTGGGCAGATGGTAGCTATTACAGTTCAGTGATGTTTCGACACGAAAGAGATTTTATATACACTAGGGCGGATCAAACATTGAAAAGCCTGTGATTAAAATTCGGTGGTAACTATTTCGATGAGACTAAAAGAGACATGATTATTTTGAAATGTGCAGGAAAAAGAGTTTTTGTCAGAAAATGAAATTAACTTCAAATTTAAGGCAAGAGTATCATATTCCCAGATCTGAAATAGCATTAACTATCTTTATAGTGATAAATAATTATGACAAAGCTTTGAGAATTTAAAAGACATATGAGAAGCTTTTTCTATTTAAATACTCCCCCTCACTTTCCCTTGCTCTCTCCAAGCCAGAGGCCTTGTTCAATTGGCACAGATTCATCCCAGCTCCAAAACAAAATTGCTGCCTAAGTGTTTCCACTCTGCTACCCCATCATGCCCTTACAGTAGCTTGGCCTAAGGAGGGGGGGTTATAAGGACAGGAAAAGCAAGCGTTTGCCATATCACTGCAAAAAATATAAATCTCAATAAGTTATTTTTTCTTAAAATAAGTGTGTTTTTCCTTGATTTGAGGAGGTAAGTAAGACACTTTGCCAATGGAACAAGACAATTTCCTTTTAAAATAAGAAAAAACTATTTTATCGTCTTATTTCAAGTAAATATTATCTAACTATCTTATTTTAAGAGTGAAAATACTCATTCCATTGGCAAATCATCTTATTTACCTGCTCAAATTAAGGCTAAATATACTTAATTTAAGCCATTTTTTACTTATTTCTGGATTGTTTTTGCAGTCTGTTACATGGGATAGAAGAACAACCACCACTATAGAACAACTGATCTTCATATCCAAGTATGACTTATGTCTCAGGAATAAAAATGTATCCCCCTCAAATGATACCAGAGGAAGCTTTAGACCTAATTAAACTGGAATGGTCATACAGTATTAGTCAGCCAGAGGATACCGTGTTAAATTCTTGTTCTGCTCCTCATAGACAGACCGCTCTTTGTTTGTGGGGCATTAGCAGAGCGGATACGAGTGAGGCATTCTGCTGCAGAAGCCAGTATGCCTCCGTCTTCCTGCTCGGTCTCAGAGGTGTTGAAAGCTTCCCAAAGCACATTCCAGTCACAGACAGACACAAGGAATAACAGTTCAGCAAGGATTAAGGAATTTGCAGAGCTTCTCTTTGGAATTTTTTTTTTTTTTTTTTTTACCTTTCTAAAGAAATAATCATATTATGATATATATATATATATATATATATTTTTTTTTTTTTTTTTATTCAAAAATCCCTATCCCTAAACAACCCCTAACACAATCTTCTAATCCTGAAAGTATTCATAAAATAAGTTTGGAATATTGGGAAACCCACACAACGTTCCACCCGAGAAAACATAGGCCACATATACTGAAAAAAAGAAGAAAAAAAAGCTGGATTTGCAGAGAGCATGAAAGATTTTTTGGCAGACCACCACTGTCTCTGACTGTAAACACTGCAAAGAGTATTTTTAGGGGACTATTGCACTCAGGTTGACACCAAGAGGCTTTTTCTCTGGTTTAGTACTGGATAAACAAGGAAAAGTCAGTAGATATTCACAGAAAGGAACAAATGAAGACCTAAGCAAAGTCTTTATGCGCTTGTTTTTTTAGCCTGAAGCAGTTTATGTGTGATAAAGAGGCAAGAAAATGGAAATCTGAAGACTAGATTGGGAGAAAGAGGCTGATAATAGCAACAGGGAAAGGATGAAAGTTGTAAATAAGTAACATGTTTAAAAAAGAATGAGAAACGGTGATGATGCCAAGGCTTAAAAAGTTAAAGAAAAAGAAATGGAAAGAAAGGAATACTTTCTTAACTGAGGCCTTAAAATTCAATATGTGGATCAGCCCCTTTTCCTCTTGTCTACAGGAGACCATTACTTTTAAAAGCACTTGCTGGTCATTTACAATAAAAGCCCGACAAAAGCTTGGCAATCAAAAAGAGAACGGAAAATCTTTAGATAATGACAATTTATCTGATAGTTTTGAAATGAAGTTCACACAAAAAAGTCACTTGGCTCTAAACGTATAAGAATCAAAAATCAAGCCATCTATCAGAACCTCAGAGCTTCAGAGCAACTTCTGTTAAACACTTTCTAAAAGCGTTCAAAGCCACATCATGGAGGACTGCATTTATATATTCTCCTTCCAACTCCTCTGTCTGCTTTATTCCTAATCAAAATCCAATTTTAGATACAAATCTTTTATCTTTACCACACAGAGCTACAGCAGTATATAAACTGGATGAAGCAAAAAAAAAAAAAATACAGATGAATGCAAACTGTTACTGAAATGAAGTCAATTTTATCCCACAGAACAACTTTTCAATACGGATCCAGAGAAAAAATGAACAATGCACAATAAACCGAATCACTGTGGCAATTTCAATTAAAGCACTTTAATGACACCAGTATGAAACTAAACAAACAAACAAAAAAAAAATGGTTGGATGGCAAATTAGTTAAGATACTATATATAACAGGCCAGAAATCAGAGGTGTCAAGTAACAAAGTAAAGCTACTTTGTTACCTTACTTAAGGAGAAATTTTGGCCATTTGTACTTTGAAAAAAGTAAGAAGTAGAAGTAAAAAGTTGCATAGAAATAATTAATCCGGCAAATCGTCTATACTTTCTACACTGAAGACATGAGATCACATAGAGCTCTGATTTTAAGTAGCTTTTGGAAGATAGAAGAGGTACCCACAGCAATGTGAGCCTGCAGAAAAAACAACAACATCCTCCTACACAGAAAGCTTCTTGATTAATGTTATGCCAGCTCATCTCCGCAGAGTAAACTGCTGCTGGACTGACAAGGAGCTAATACCAGCTGGTATGGCACAGCCTCATTAGAGCACAGAACACTAAGAGGCCTGGTATGGTGATCCCGATGCACACAAACAAAGAGATGGTGGAAAGTTGTGCACATGTGCACAGATTAAAAGATAGAAACAAACAAATCATTGACATGTTCAAATAAAATAAAATCTAACATATTCATCTTCATGCTGTTGTCTTATAAGGGTCGTAAGCATCTGGAAGAAACAGGTGATTTACCTGTGAAGAGTTTGGTGATGGCTTTGTTCTGCCTCCGTGCAGAGCAGATGAGCAGCAGCCAAGGAGGCAGGAACTCATGGTGACTGGCGAGGAGCTCAGCGATTGTCCTGGGAGACCCTGGCGAGGACCTCTGCTCCCCCTCGCCGAGCTGAGAGCCTTCGTCAATAGAGTCCACAAGCAGGAAGAGTGACTGCTGAGGTGGCTTAACGCTCAGCAGAGGCAAAAGGACACACCTAAGGTGGGGGCAGGAAAAGATCAAAATGTTAATACATTTAGGGTTCTGCATTATGGTTTGTTCTACAAGTTAATTTCCAATGATCAGCTTGTAAAACATACATTGTTAAAACCATGTGGAGCTCGGTTTCTTATAGTTTTCAAACTTTTTCTGTTTTTTAGTCCTACTTGATCTTAAATGTTCTATTTGTTTTTTGTTTTTTTTTATCCAGTTTTCTCTGAAAACACTTTAGAAACCTTTACATAAAAGTTTGAATCATACAGAAAATGAAATATTCCCAGCTAGACTTCATTAATTACACAGGACTTTGGTAGGAAGCAAATTGCACTGGGATTTATTTATGAGCATCAGGGTACAGGAGGCTTAAGCTCCAGCACACCTTTCACATGTCTGCAAAACAAAAAGTATTATTTTCTTTCCACTTCATAGTTAGAACACTACCACGTGTCGGTCAACATAAATCCTGACAAGTCAACTCAGGTTTGTGGTTCACAAAACATAAATCTGGCTCTTTTTGCAGGTGCAGGGCACTAAAATAGATACGCAGTTTCTTAATCCATACCAATATTAGTCCAGGGTTTTCGCTATATGTGGTCAAGCTTCTCAGTGGGTACAGTGATCTTCCCTGCTCTTAGTAGTGAAAGAAAACGGGAGAAGACATTCCAGCGATTTTAATCTTTTTTAGAAAAGTGATTAGACAAATCAACTTCAGATCGTTCCACCGTTACAGTTTCATAACAGAAAAACGACGGAGAGTCTCTCCCTGCTTCCCTAAGTGCTGTCTCACAGGCAGCTGCCCCGTCCTGAAACTCTTGCATGGAGTCAGAGCAAAGAGAGCAGAGATTAGTTTTCCCACAGCTAATGTATAACACAAACATAAAGCTGTTAGTGATTCTGCATAGGTTACAAAGCAGGATATAAATGTAAATATAGTTTTTAATCTGGTCTCACTTCTTTTTCCCCCTGAAACTGTTGCAATAAAATAATTACCTGATTACAACACAGCTGGAATTTCTTATTCACCTGATGCTTCTTATTAAATGTATGCAGAGTGGAGGCACAGCCTAAACATTCATGCATTATTCAATAAAGTTAGGTTAATGAATATTGCATTTCCATGGTTTTTTTTAAGGGCAGTGGCAGTGTTAGTCAATCATAGCTATAAAAAAACTAATCTTGGAGGAAACCCGGTCGGTAATGCATAGAGATCAAAAGGAAATAAAATGCACTAGTAAATACATTTGTTTCCAATCTGAAATGGGTCTTTTGACTGGATCACAGCCAACAATTTGAGCTCAGAAGAAACCTTTACAATCAGAAACAATCTCTGGGACTGCATGAACTATGACTAAGAGCTACACAACATGAAAAAGTTCTATGTATCAAAGCTCCACTATGCTCCCTGCAACATTACTACTGACGCCAGACGATTTTTAGCCATTAAAAACACAGCCTTGTGAAATCCAGTGATAAAGCAAACACGACATGAGGCTTTCTGCCTCATCTCCACATCAATACCAATATGAGCACAACTAAACGCTGCATTATGCCGTTATCAGCAGAAAAGTACAAACCAGACGTGTAATCCGCCTGCTTCAGAGCCAACATGGAAGTTCACACAGAAATGCTGAGTGAACCAAGAGGTTCTGTTTCATATTTTACACCCGATCCACTGCGACGCCACAAGGTACCCTTTTAGAAGGTGTCGCTTGCCAAGAATCATAAAATCACTTCCAGCTCGACTGGCTGAGAAGAAGGATCGGATGATTTCCTTTTACTGACATTTGAATCTACTTCTGGGTTAATTAGACATTTAAGAAGAGGCTGAACAAATGAATCTATCCACATTAAAGCTTGACTCAGGCGCAGACGCAGCTGCAGGGCATTCGCTGTTCTTCAGTGTGTCAGAAAGTAAAAAAATCTGTCACTTTGCTGGCGATAGGACTTGGCTTCTTTTCTTTTTAAACTACCTCCCTCTTCTAATGGAAAACATGCTGTTTATAAGATTTTTTACATAAAATGCTCAAATACTGATCTATGAAGACTTATGCGGTATGCTCAACAAACTGTAACCAACAGTGTGGTTCAAAGGTAAAATCACTTTAAAAGCCCTATAGTGCTCGTTACGACAAAGCTTTTTGTTACCTGATAAGTGATTTAATAACAAAATGAAAACCTTGTAAAAATAAAATGTAAAGATTCATTTTTGTAGATATTTAAAAAGATGTGTCAACGTCACATAAACAGATTTCTTGGTATCGACAAACAGACTAATTATTCTTACTAGAGATTAGCTGATTACTTTGACATTGGTCTAACTGATCCCAGATAAAGTGATTACCGTATTTTCACGACTATAAGGCGCACTTAAACGTCTTTTTTTCCCTCAAAATGTGCGGTGCGCCCTTTGGTGCGGTGCGCCCTATGTGTGTTGTAACTGCGACTTTTGAGACCACCTCATTGAGGAGATGATGAAAGAGTGGTAGGTAAAGGGGTAAGCTTTTTTTTAAGTCGATTTACTTAGTTTATTCAAGGTGTCATTTTTATTATGTAAATGCATGAATAAAGAACCAAAACTGCTATGTTAATAACAATTTAGGCAAACATTAATAGATAGCAAATTGAGACAGCAGAAATGCATGCGCTTCATGTGATCAAGGCATGGCTGCTGAATGCTCTAAAAAATTGGATATTAGGCCTGGGAAATAAATCGGAATGTAACCTTTACCGTCATTCACTGCGATAACCGCAGACAATTTTCCTAATTTTTTTCAAAAAGAAATCAACTTTATTCTGCCATTTTCCTGTGCGCGAGGGTGACTGGTATTTCCTTCCCCTTAAAGACACGGCAGCGCGTGTGTGTAATCACGTGTCTCCACCAATCCCGAATGCCGTATGAGGCCAGTGAAGAAGTGTGCAGAAATGAAGCTGAGCGCCGTTGCAATTTTAAAATCTGTCTAGTCCCATTTAGCCTTAATTTTTATCCTAGTTGGGCATTCAGCTTAATAAAAATGAACAAACATGCTACAGAGTAATTTGACATAAGAACACTGAATGTAGACAAAAGAGGGAAAATGCGAGTCCTGTTTGAGAATCTAAAACAAAAAATCCTTAAGATATCTTTTCCAAAGATAAAAGTAATAAGACCATATGAGACTTATATAAGAGCTGCACAGTGTATCAAATTGTCAAATCAGTTTCCCACAATTTTTCCAATTTGACATTAATCTATTTGCGATGATTAAGCCCATGAAGAGTGGACTGAACATTACATTATGATCGAGTCCCAATTATCAAGCAGCTAAGTATTGCAGCAACAACTGCCAATATTGTTAAGAGTTATTATTTTCTGTAGCTAGACTCTCAGGGATTTTCAACCCTAGGGTCATGAGTCAGGAAAAAAATCCAGGGTAACACTTTAACGTTCAAGAGTTTACCTGTGGCAACAGCCCAGATGGACAAGCCATCATCCTCTACCAGCATCAATGATTTTGCGTTAAAACTTCCATCCGTCCTTTTTTGATAGATACCAACTACTGCACAAATAAAAAAACACAATACGCTTTCTCTTTTGCTCATAGGCCAACTGATGAATTTAATGTTGTGTAATGGTTGCAAACGGTGCTGCCTTCTGCAACAATCACAAAGTATTACATTTCTGTGATGTTATTGTTTTTCTTAGGGGTTCGATTCTGAAATGGTACCAATTAATGTCCGCATCTGTAAATACTTAAAGTACATAATCATAGTACAAGGGGTGTTATTTTTTAAAAGCAAAAGCAAGCAAGAGGACCATTTCTTTTTTAGTTTAAAACAATAGAGATCTCTAAATAGCCCCAGTTCTATCTGAATAAAGACAGCACATCTGCAAAATATGTTATTCTAAACAGGTCCAGCAGCATTCAATGTGTGACATAAAAGGTTTTTAACCAAGATGGAATCTCCACCAAATCTAGAAAAAGAATAACTTAAATTCCAAAAGATATTGAAATATGCAGCACATACCCTCGGTAAAGTACTTCTCATTTGTGGCTTTTTAAGATACCCCCCACATATCAGCTGTAAAAAAGTGAGATGCAATTATTAGTTTAAAGATTTAAATCTTAACATTCAAAATCTCTCAAAGCAGTTTTAACCATGGGCTGAAACAAAAAGCACTGTTAATGCCTTTTAATGGTCTTGTTGCACCTCAGTGCTGCTCAGCCTTTTTAGCAGTGCAGTCAATCATTCAGTCTTATTGTCGCAGCCCACACAGAACCTCCACCGCCATCTGTGAATCCTGCCAAAGGGAATGTCCATCCGCAGGCTTGACTTGTGCGTCAGTATGTGAATGGTTGTGTATGAGGCCACGTTGCCTGCCGAGAATCAAATCCAGTGACAGCAAGTGGGTAAAACAAAGAGGCATTCTTCTCTCACAATCCAGTTACTCTTAGGCTGTCAAGGGTCAAAAGAGAGCGACCGAAGACAAAGGAAAACTCAGCAGGATGCGGAGAAGAGTAAGCCCAGGAAAGCCGATTTCATTTGTAAGAGGAACATGCTGAATACCTGAAAAACTAAAAGCCATTCAGCCACAGATGCATGCTATGGTCAGGGACCCAACACAACTATTCTGGTTCTACACTAAAACCTGAATCAATTCCTAATGCAATTCAAAGTAAAGAAAATGGGGGGAAGGGGCATCCTAAATGCATCAAATGCACTCCATCTGTCATGATGAGGACTGCAGCCTCCATCACTGCAATAATAATGTGCAAAGTGAAGCTTTCAGTATGAGGTTTGTAGAAGACGTCTGGGCTGAAAGAGTTGCATTAGGAAGCATTGAGAACTGTGCACATTAGAAATACTTATCTTTATGAAACTGAATATCAACATGCTCATAGGAAAAACAGCAAGAGTGTCTAAATAAGTTCTTCAACTTTAAGCATGTTAAATTGTTCTAAATAAGCAACAAAGTGAAAGTGACAAAGCTTTGCTCTCCATTCATTAAAATAACCACTT